TAACGATTATATATATATATATATATATATATATAAAGTGATATCATATATATTGATATCAAATACAAATAAATTTTAACCCATTTCACTTTATTCAATGATGTTATTTTAAAATATTATTTTATTTAATAGCATATTTTCAATAACTCTTTTTAACTCTTATATCACGTTATAATGAAGTGTAGTTTATAAAATATAACTTATTTTATTTGTGTAAGTACACTTGTTTTCAAATCTAGATTTATAAAAATGTAATTCGTCTAAGTTTTCTTGTTCTTCTTCTCAGTTTTAGATCAAGTATATAATTAATGCTACGATATTATGTTTATTTTACATTTACGTATCATGATAGTCTGATACACATCTATGCGAAATTCAATGACTTTTCACTTTTGTATTTCCATATACATTATTTGTTTATTCATTTTTTTTTAATTTCTAATGTTCCTTTTCAGTATTGTTCATATACTTCATTATTTTATTTGTAATTTTAATCTTAAAAGATAAACTTAAACACGGGATCGGAACAACAAAATCATGCTTGGAAGTTGGAATCATATGTACAAATTAAAAAACAACATAAAAATCATGCTTGGAATCATGTGTACAAATTGCCAAAATCTGTGTTGGTTTAAGTGAAGCAGAATTGGATGCTTTAAGCAAGCGATCTCAAGTTTAATGCCAAAATCTATGAATACATAAAAAGAAAAAGAAAAAGAAAACACTATTGGAATGGATCCTCTCTTTATCAAATATATGTAAATAGAGTAACAATTTTTGCAAATAACTAAATATAGACTTCCCCATTTAAAATTATTGAAATTTTATTTTCTTCTATGGTTTTATTCTAAAATTATTAATACTTAAGATTTAAGTTTCGTTAATTTTTTTTCCTACGTGTCCTTCTATTTAAAATATTTCAATAAAACAACAAACTACATTTACACCTTATATGAAATGAGGGATAGCAGTGCATGGTAGGTCGGCATCATCATCATCAAGTGAAGTGGTGATTGGTGAGAGATGGTGTTGCTGAGGTGAAAATGGTAGGTGATCCTGATCTTGGAAGTTAAGCTCTTAGCTTTAATGGATGAAAAGTGACTTTCATGTGGTTGAGGAGTCCTTATATATATATATATATATATATATAGCCAAGATGTGTGTACCTATCATATCTGTTTTGAGGGTATGCAATGCATGTGGAACCTTTGGAATAAGTTTGCTAGTCCATCACCCTCTCAAGTTATATCAACTTTGGTAGATACTAACCTTACTTGTGGACTAATGATATATATGTAATATAGTGTTCATTTTCAACATCGTTATCTTTTGCTCTTGGAAATTTTTTCTTGATACAGAACTAATCCACATGTAAATGTGTGTAAGAGAATGATTGTGCAACATTTGACAAAGATATTTTAAGCAAGAATAAACAAAAGTCTAATAAATGTCATGTTCCTTTGGATTTTATAGTAGTTGAGGATTTAACTTCTCATTTTTTTTAACATTTACTTTATAGTTTTGTAATTTAACTTGCTCTGTCTTTTTTTTTTTCTTCCCTCCGTTTCTTCTATTTCTTACCTTTTTTATTAAACATGGTATTAGTGTGAATTAATGTTGAAAATATGTTTAGCTTGAGTCAAGTTTGTCTCAACTCAACTAAATAATATTTGGCTTAATTTATAATTTGACTTGATTTTGATATGAATCATTTTTTTCTAACTCGAACAGGCTTGATTCAACTAGTAGTTCGATTCAACTTGTAAGCTTGAATAACATGAATCAAGAGTTAATTTTTTTTGAATCTTATACGTTTTAAAATTTTAATTTAATAATATATTTTAGATATAATGATTGTTTAACTTTTTAAAAAAATAAAACATATTGTATTAGTTTCACAAGGTAGTATAAATAAAAACTACTTACCTTCATAAAATAATAGAAAACCCAATCCATAACCATGAAATTTTAAAGTATCAACTTCTTTTATAATTAAAACTTATAATCGGGTATTAAAGGTTATTTCAAATTTAAGTTAAAATTAAATAGAAAGTTAATTTTATAAATTATATATTTATATGTCGAGTCGATTCATGAATTGAATAAGCCAAGTTATACACAATTCAAATTAAACTCATTTATTTATTGAGCTTGATTTTTAGCTAAATTCTAGCTAATTTGGTTTATGAACCAAGTTTAACGAGTTAATTATTAAATCAAATTTCAAATTATTTTTGAGTTGGTTCAGTTTATTATCACACTTTGTGTGAATCACTAAGGTTGACCTAGTAGTGAGAAATGAAATAATATGCACAAAAATTTAGGTTTAAATTATGATGCCATCATTATAATCCTAATAGATAAAAGAAATGGTATTAGTTTACAGAAGAAAGATAAAATAAATTTTATTAAAAATAATAAATAAACTTACAATGTGTATTCGCTTCAATTTTCACCTTCCATCATGCACACACTTATTGTTTATTTATAATTATTATAATTATGAATTTGTTTAAATGCAAGTTATAATTATTTGTGAGAATTTTTCTATTGAAAATAAAAAAAATCTTTTCATCAGAAAAGCTTTAAAAAATGATTTCAAACTTATATCTACACAAATTCTAGATCTTTTACTATTATTTTGTGATTATTGGGGGTAGTCGTCCCTTCATTGTTTAGTTACAATGGGCTCATTTACTCATTTGTTCTGTCGTTCATAGTTTTTATTTTATTTTATTTTTTATATTGTTTTATTGTTTTTTGGTTACTTCAGTTTTGCCCACATATATGGTGGTGGATGCCTAGACTTGACCCATAGCTTTTGTTTTGTTTCATTCATTAGTTTTCTTATTTTTTGGTATTACCAAACCCTTTTTGTTGGCTGACTGAGATGATTTTGCTTGGGCCCTGTTGGCTGTTGGTACATGGTAGTTAAGCCCAATTGATTGCCCATTTTCACCAACGAACATTCTTGGGCTGCCCTTACCCAAGGGCTTTCCCTCTCTTTTTATAAATACATGGGACATGACCCCGCTCTCCCTTGAGAAATAAAACATTAAAATATTGTTATATGCAATTAGTATTGTTATAATTGGAAAATACTAATTATATACTTAGTTTTATGACAGAATTTTATATAAATTTGGATCTTGATGTTTGGGACCATACTTTGAGATAGGTATTGGTTGATAAAACATGTTATAGATAGATATATGTTGGATTTTCTAGAAAAACAATGTCTGCATTATAAAAAGTACTAAACATAAAGCATGTGTTGAACCATGCATGTTGGAATATGTTTTAGATGAAATTGGGAAGCTAAAATTTGGTATACTGCAGCATTAAAGTCAGATACCATTGTTCGATTCTAGAGGGTATGACATCAAGGTCTGAGAATCATAATGGCCAGAGTAGTGTCCTTGAGACCAGAACAATCACATAAATCATCTTGATAACTAACACTTACTTAACATCACTAGGATTGATGTAACATATTTCCTTAAGAAGGCTTGAGCTAATTTATAGAAACACCTAAAAAGTTCTCAGTAAACTAAAAACACTAATGCGAAATAGTTATCTTTCCCCATTGCCTCTTCACATAATGCTAAGAACAGCTTTGGAAACTGCTATAAAACAAACAAGCCAGAGACTATCGAAACAACATTATATACTTAGAAGAGCCCCACAAAGAATTACTGATAAAAAACCATCAACTGTTTCACTTGAATAAATATCACCTTTACTGGCATTCTGCTTCAATGCAAAAGAAATTTGTTTACAAGTTCTAGATAGACCCTATAAAACAAAGCTAACATCCTCCAAACAGAAGATTCTACTTTGGCTAACTATATAATTGAATATATAATATTAGTTCAAAAGATCTTCCATTTCTGCTCCAAAGCTTCACAGATCATCCCTAGGCAGTATTTAGTAGCAAGTGGATATTCAGAAACTGCATCAGTGATAAGACACGTAAATATAACTTCTATAAGCGTTAGTATAGAAATAAAACTGGAAACAGCATAAAGTTAACAACAAACTTGAAACTGAATATGCACAAAAGGCTGAAGACCAGAATTTCCTACATGAAACAAAAATTTTATGCACACATGGTGCATCTATTCATACGCCCTAAATTAAATAATGTTGACAAAAACTGCTATAATTCCTCAAGACATACCCACAACACAACCATTACACCGCAGTTCATACCAGATAATTTAAGTTCCCCAATACAAAATAAATCAAATGACTTCCATCCTCAGTGCTTGCAGAACACAAGATGCACACATCAGAAGATATAGTTATATACAACAAGGTACGTCGATCAGTTCAATCAGGACTTTGATAAGATCCAAAAAAACTAGAACAAATAACTTTGCGTTTCGAATTTTCTAAGATCCATAAGAAAAATAACTGAGGGTTGAGCTTTATATAGTATTTCATCTCCAACCAGTAAACTTATTATATTCATGAACCATAGATAAACACACTCTTTATCTTTAAAAAAGACCTTCATTTCTAAAGAATTGAAGAAGATAAATATAGTATGAATCCTCCATTTCTCTCTCATTTCTATTCCAAGCAGAGTAGTCAAACAAAATACAATAGAGTAAATTTGTTTGCAATATACAAAATCAAATAAAATAAAATTCATTAATTAAACCTGAAATATAATCTTGAATATAGTCCCCTTTTACTTTCCCATTCACCATTGTGCCTACCTGAAAACACATAAAAAACTTCACGATGTTTGAAACCAACATATCACATCAACTCATGTTTTAAAATTAAAACATACCACAAAAACGGGAATCAAATCATTGCTCCAAACCGAGACATATTCCTCTATGTCAACCAACTTTTCTGACGTATATGAGAGACCTGCATCCCATGATTACTTCAAAAACCATAAAAGTATAAAATAAAAAGAATACCAAAAATCTTTCAAGAGTTTTAAACAGTATAACACACCTACGATGTAAGAGTTGATAGGCAAATGGCGCGTTACAGGTTCCTCAACAACACGAAGTAGAACTTCATTTGTATCTTTGGCCCGCACCGAAGATTTTTGAAGCAACTCCACTACAATACAACACAAGAATAAGTTTCATAATGCATAAAGATATTTCACACACTACAATATAATAGTTGGAAATAGAGAAAGGGAGAGGAAAATCATAAGAAATTTTACATATGACACCACAGAATCGACTGCATGTTCGTGGTATACGAACATGAGGCATGACTTCAAACAATCTTCCTTGATCAATTTTAACATATATTGCCTCTACCATGCCGGCTTTATTAAGAGGGCTATCTAGAATGCACCGGAGAGCCTGAAGAAGTCAAGAGTTAAATCTAATTCTGAAAATATCTATGCAAATCTTTACAATGGAAAAGAAACAATAGTAATTGGACAGAAGATGTAACATTATTTGTAATCCATAATATAATTTATCTACTCTGTTCACTACAGTTGAAAATTGTTATATAATACTGGAAAGGTGTAAGTTTAGGAGATCATATCAACAACCAACCTCGTGAATTATGTCAGGCCGATAATCATTTAGATTTTTATTTTGCTTCAGCAGAAACTGTGCATCCTCGTCTGAGTTCAGAATTTTCCATTCCTAAACCGTAAATAAGAGAGACACAAATAAATAAATAATTATCAGCCTGTAAAATGCATATTTTTATATTTCCAATATAATTTTGAGAACATACGCAATGAGAGATGACAAGCTATACCAAAGTAAAAGCATCACAATATAATTATTAGCCTGTAAAATACCTTTCTAACAAGACCCTTTATCAGAGAAGCATTGTCAAGGATGAATATGGCCGGAGATCTCACAATCTTTGGAGAAGAGACCAAAGGGGTAAATAAAGATACATCATTTGAGGCAATTTCACCCTTCTTAATATCGTTATCTTCTTCTATACCAATTGTCAAGTTTGGGCTTTGTTCCTCAGCCCTCTTCCTCTTCTGCATACTTGCTTCTGTAAGTTATGTGTAACAAACAAAACAACTCTTCGAAAACAAAAGCAACTGCAAGCAAAAACACATCATTCATCACTTGAACAGTCTATGTATACTTAATCAAAGGATAAACAGAGAAAGATACCTGTGGGGCAAAACTTAGTAGTCCACCAATAGAGAAGATTACTATAGAATTGCACAAGCTCTTCAGACAAAAGAACACAAAAATGGTACCTAGAAATACTGATTCAGAAGCTGCATTAGAGATCAATTTGTAAAAAATACAGAGCAGTGATCATATTAACATGTTATGATTTCTTTAAGATCCACAAATCAAACGTTTCGTTACAGAAGGTTATAAAACATACAAGTAACGGCAAAAAATTGCAGCATGCGTGGTAACACAGGGCTAAACACTAAAATAAATATCAAAACACAACAACATTTGTGGATGAGCAATTATTTTATCAGTCTCGTGATTCCCTATAACTATAAAGCGTGTTCATATAGTTATTTTGCATTTTGATCAATTGAATTTAAACTCTAAACATTACCCATGTGAGCAATCACAATCTGGATTCTGATACCAGTTGGCAGCTAACAAATTGAACCAAATTACAAACAACAAAACTGAATTGATTCTTGTGAAGATTTAACTTTTGGAAAATAATAATAATAATAACAGCACACTCTTTGCTGAAAGAAGAATGAATTTCTAAAGCACATTCATTCGATTTTAAGTGTAGGTTCCATATATTTTATACATGGTCAGATTTATTTAAAAATAATAATAAAAGTTATGGATCATAGATTATTGGAGTTGGCAGTGTGCATGAGCACCACAATACAAACGGTGGAGTATTGATGAATGAAAACGAGAGAAAACTAGGCTTACACAAAAACAAAGGCACGCTTGATATGACTATCAATTCAGGAGAAAAATAAGAGAGAGAGCGCTTACAAAAATCATGTGGATTGGACGTAGTAAAATAGAAGATGATGACAGTTGAAAACTTGTTTTGAAGAGGGAAGAGGTGGTTAGGGCTGGAGTACGTGTTTTTGCTTTTGTCACGCCAAAGCTCCAATCGATGGTGGATTAAAAATTATACTTCATCTCCGAAGTCTATTTTTTATTTTTTATTTTATTTTTATATATATATCTATGATATATAACATAAATATATCATGATGATTTTTTATTATCTAATTTTTAAGGATATTTTTATTATTTATTTAATAATAATTACATAATTCTTTGCTTTTTTTTAAAGTGAAAAATAATTTGATAATTTTATCTTATTAATTTAAATAAAAATTATTATTTTCAAAAATAAATTATATTATATCTATTTTGTAACTTCCACATTTTACTGCATTAAAAACGTTTGGAGTGTTTTTTTTAGTTAGTAAGGATAAAGATTACTGATATTTTGATATTTTATTATGTGGTACAAATATCTAAATTTTTTAAAATAAGTTATATATATATATATATAATATAAATATTATATATAAATATATAAATTATATTTAAATTTTATCTAAAGAGATATTTTATACGTATAATTTTTTTTAAAATTAAGATAAATGATTTATATTGTGATATTATATTATTTTTAATTATTGATATAATTTATTTTAAAAATATTAAATTAATTTATAAATAAATATGATGAATAAAAATTAAATTAAATAAAAATCAAATTTTTTAAAGACTAATGAAAAGATAATTCCTAAAAATATTTTTGTTGAAAATAAAAATTGATTTAAAAGTTCATTAATATGAATATAATATAAGATAATATGATATTATATTGTCAAAATCAAATTAATATTAAACAATATTATGTTATTAATTTATTAATGGAACATAAAATATTAATATGTCAAAATGTATAATTTTCAATGCAATTAAATTAAATTGAACATCTTTAATAATATTAATATAATATTTTAATCCGTATATGTTACTGTCTAAATATTTATTATATATAACTAAATTTTATAATAAATTATTAATTGTATATAAATATATGAATTATATTTAAATTTTTTTAAATATATATTTTCAAACATGTAAATTATATTTTTAATTCAAAGATAAATAAAGAGGTATAATATTATTTTCAATTATTGATAAATTATTTTAAAATATTAAATTTTAATTTAAAAATAAATATGATAAATAAAAATTTGAACTAAATAAGAAATCAAATCTTATATATTAAGCGTAATTTTTAAAAAAATTTCTTCAAACAAAAGAGTTTATAGAGATTTTTAAATTTTTTTTTTATTTAATTTAATTTTTATTTGTCATAATTATTGATAAATTAAATATTATTTTAAAATAAATTATCAAAAAATAAAAATAATTCTTTTATGATACAAAATATTTACTATAAATTAAGTTCTATATATTAAATACGAACCTTCAGTAAGTGATTTTAAGAGTTTTTTTAAATTTATATGTATACTAATTTTGAATATAATATATGCATTTAAACATAATGTTTACTTATCTATAATTTATTATAAATTTTAATTATATAATAAATGTATCTGTATATCAAACATATTAAAATATTAGTTAAAATAATCTTTAAAAATGCTAGAGATGAATAATAATTCTTAAAAATATTATCCCACTGTTATTTGCTTTTCATATCTAGTAATTGATTAATCAATTCTTATATATTGAATGTGAGAAAGATTATATTCAATAAGAATATTTCTAGTAGTTATTCTTTGAGGGATGGTATTTAAGAATTTTCTTAACTTATATAATTTAAGTTTTTATTTGTTTATAAATAAAATTTAAATATTTTAAAATAAATTATTAATGTATAAAATAATTTTGTTATGTAATATAAGTTCACTACAAGAATGTTTCAATTTAGAGTCGACCAAAAGCCGACTCTAAATCATAAAAGCTAGCGCAATATTGTCGGTTATTCATCGATTTTTGGCCGACGCTAAATAAGTCGATACAATTTTTTTGTGTCGGCTAAGCCGTCACTAACAAATTTATTTATTTTAATTTTTTATTGTCGGTTAAGCGGACACTATGTTGACACAAATTTTATTTTATTTTTTTCTTTATCTTCTTTTTTTCGCTTATCATTTATTTGTTCGTATTTTTAACATTTCTGGGACTCGATCTGTGAACCTTGAGGTCTTAAGTGAACTTGATAACCAAATGTACTAGAACACATTATGCGTATATAACATTGGAAAAATTATTTTTATCTCTCTGAAAGCACGTATACGTATATTATTTAAATATAGCGTCGACTTTTCCGACGCTAAACTTAAAATAAATTTAATTTAAATTTATTTTCAGTTTAGCGTCGAAAAAGCCGACGCTATATTTAAATAATATACGTGCTTTCAAAGAGATAAAAATAATTTTTCCAATGTTATATACGCATAATGTGTTCTAGTACACTTGGTTATCAAGTTCACTTAAGACGAAAAGCCGATGCTAAATCTTAAAATAGCGGTTTTTTCGACACTATTTGCCTCAGCTATTAGTCGACGCTTATTTTTCGCCGCTTATTCAGCGTTTTCTTGTAGTGGTTATTTATCTTAAATCTAAAATATATTTTTATATATTTAAAATATTTATTTATAAAATTTTAAATATAATATATATTTGTATATATAATTTCTTATAAGTTTTATTTATATATAATACATATTTGACCTATGTGAAAATACTAGTAATAAATATTATTAAAAAGTATAAAAATATTTTGTTTATATTTACTTAAATTCTTAATTATTTTTTATTAATTTAAAAGTTCACAATATAAGATATTTTTCATGATATACTATTAAAAGGTATAAAAATATTTTGTTCATATTTACTTAAATCCTTAATTTTTTTTATTAATTTAAAAGCTCACAGGTATAAAATATAAGATATTTTCATTAATTTTTTAAATGAAATTAAATTAATACTATTATTTTAACCTGTATATTTTACAGACTAAAATTTTATTATATATTATTAAATTTTATAATATGTAAAAAATACTATAATTTGTAATAAAAAAAATATTATATTTAAATATATAAATTGTATTTAAGATAAATAATTTATATTATAACATAAAATTATTTTTAATTATTGTTAATTTATTTTAAAATATTAATTTTAATTTATAAACAAATTAGATAAATAAAAATTAAATTAGACAACAAATTAAAATATATATAAAAAACTTTGATCAAATAATACTCCCCCAAAAAAATTTCCCTGTCGCGAAAGTCAAAAAACCCACTTCCCAAATCATAATAACTTCTCTGTTTTTTTTTTTTTTTTCTTTTACTTAAATAAGACAATGAGTATATAATATGTTCATATTTGTGTCTCTCTATGTACTAGCAAAAAATGTATCATGTGTCTTACTAATATTATAAGATGTGAAAGTTATACAACGATTATAATGTAGTTTA